GTGACTAATATATTAAGACAAGAAGGACGAAACCTAGTGCAAGCCGCCCTCAACCCCAACGCAAATTTTACAAATATTACGGACGTGACCATAGACTCGACCCTAGCGAAAAATATAACGGAACTAGACAAAATTCCGGAGGTTGTGGGATGAATACGGGAATTCTCAGGCAATCCGGGAGAGTTTAGCTCCTGGAAAAAAAGCGTAGATAGAATATTGCAGATCTATGAGCCACAAAAAGGAACGCCAAAATATTATGGCATCCTTAATGTTATACGAAATAAAATCGTGGACAACGCCGATATTGCCCTCGAATCTTATAATACACCGCTGGATTGGAAGGCTATTTCGAGATGCCTTACCCTCCACTACGCAAATAAACGAGATTTGGGAACTCTAGAGTACCAGATGACCGCATTAGTGCAGGGCAACCTCACTGTTCAAGAATTTTACCAAAAGGTGTATTCACACCTGTCACTTATTCTCAACAAACTCGGAGGTAGGTGCAGAATCCATGCATTTGCTTACACGGACCTACCGGGACAAAGCCCTCGACACCTTTATTCGAGGACTAAACGGTGACTTGCCGAGACTTCTTGGCATGAGAGAACCGGTAGATCTTCCTCAGGCTCTCCACTTATGCTTAAAACTGGAGAACCAAAACTTCCGTTCAAACTACGCGCTGAATAATAATGGCCAAGTTAAGAAAACCCAAGATCTGCGGCCACCTATTCCACCCAGAAAAATAAGTAACGAATTCTACCCACAACTGGCGTACATTCCAAGACCATACGTGCCTCCACATAATTTTATGGCTCACCAACGCCCACAACCCACTCTTAATTACCGTAATTCGCCAAATTATAGGGCTCCGGCTCAACCCCCCGCTAAGCCGCAACTTCCACGTCCAGAGCCAATGGATGTCGACCGCTCCTTGCATTCAAAAGCGGTCAACTACATAAATAGGCCACCACTTAATAACTAGGCCGGGAAAAGACCATCCAACTTTTCCCAACAAGTGCCTCTGAAGCAACAGAGGAACTTCCACATTGAGGCAGGTACTCAAGAAGACCAATAATATTTACAGGACCAACAAGACCAATATTATCCGCAAGATCAACAGGATTGGTATCCAACAGCGGAAGAGTATAAAGCAAAAATTGCCAAAGAAGAAGGTGCACAATCAGTTCAGGAATACGCTGAACAAAATCCATCACAAGACGTTCAAGACCATATCGATATTCATTTTTTAGAATGAACAGTTCTTCGTTGCCGTATGTAGAGTGCAGAACGAAGAACGGAAAAATTCTGAAAATACTCATCGATACCGGTTCGAGCAAAAATTACATCCAACCCTGCCTCATGTCAAAACGAATTCCCAATGACCAACCATTTTTTGCAAATTCCATAGCCGGACAGATACAAATTATCCACCACACAGTTATTAATCTATTTGGCAGAAAGGGCACGAATTTAAAATTCTTTTTGCTCCCCACCCTAAAATCCTTTGACGGCATAATTGGAAACGATAGTCTTAAAGAGCTTCGTGCCACCATAAACATCCACAACGACTCCCTCACATTTGGCAATGGCATAAAAATAAAAATTAAGCAACAACCTTCACCATCGGTCAACAAAATTGACGTAAGGACCGACCACATGACAGAAACGCAAAAACGACATATTGACCGTCTCACAAACAAATATCCGCACCTATTTACCGAACCAGATGAGAAACTCACCTACACCACTACTGTAGTAGGGGAAATTAGAACCTCTTCAGACACCCCAGTATACACCAAATATTATCCTTACCCCCTAGCAATGAGAGACTTTGTGAAACAAGAAATAGAAAATCTATTAAAAGATGGAATTATTAGGCCATCCCGTTCACCCTACAACTCGCCCGTGTGGGTTGTATCTAAGAAGTTAGACGCGTCTGGACAAAAAAAATACAGACTGGTAATTGATTATAGGAAATTAAACACCCTAACCATAGCCGATAAATACCCAATCCCGGAAATCAACGAGGTGATCTCGCAACTGAGAAACAACACATATTTTTCTGTTCTTGGTTTAAAGAGTGGCTTCCATCAGATTCCTCTGAAGGAATCCGACATTGAGAAGACAGCTTTTTCAATTAATAACGGTAAATACGAATCCACTCGACTTCCGTTCGGACTTAAAAACGCACCCGCTATCTTCCAACGAGCGCTCGATGACATCTTGAAGGAACACATTGGTAAAATATGTTACGTGTATATAGATGACATCATAGTATTTGGCAAGGATGAGCAAAGCCACCTTCAACATGTCGAACAAATTTTTCCCACACTAGAAAAGGCAAACATGAAGGTCCAGTTCGACAAGTGCGAGTTTTTCCGTAGAGAAGTCGAATTCCTAGATTTCATNAGGAATCCGACATTGAGAAGACAGCTTTCATTGTATCACAAACAGGCATAAAAACTAATCCCACTAAAGTAAAAGCAATTCAAGAATTTCCATGTCCAAAAACACTAAAGGACTTGAGGGCTTTTCTTGGTCTATCAGGCTATTATCGACGCTTTATCAGAGATTACGCCAAGTTAGCGAAACCTCTGACATCGCTTTTGAGAGGGGAAGATGGACGCGTGTCCAAAAATTCCTCAAGCAAAAAGTTCGTAGTGCTCGATAAAAACGCCTTAGAGGCGTTCAATAGAATTAAATCTTCATTTATATCAAAGGAAGTCGTGCTAGCCTACCCAAACTTCAAGCAGGATTTTCATCTTACCACCGATGCATCCAACTACGCTCTAGGAGCCGTCCTCGAGCAAGCAGGTAAACCAATAACCTTTATATGCCGATCACTAAATAAAACCGAGGAGAGCTATGCAGAAAACGAAAAAGAAATGCTTAAAAACTATTTGTATGGATCAGCGAAAGTTGTAATTTTCACAGATCACCAACCGCTCACTTTTGCATTGAGTAACAAAGTGTATCCTCGAAGAATACAACTACGAGATGAAATACAAACCAGGTAGAACGAACGTCGTAGAAGACGCACTCTCTAGACCCCCACAGACTGAGATTAATGTCCTGACAACCACTGACCATAGCGACGAAAGTTCCGCTCATCAACTCATCCCAGCCACTGAAGCACCAATAAATGCTTCCAAAAATCAATTATTCCTGTTATTCGGCGACGAAGATAACTATACATTTCAAATACCATTTCCTAGCTTTCACAGGCACACGATTACAAAACAAAACTACTCGACACAAGACATTATAGACATATTCAAACGACATCTTGACCCAGGATTACTCAACGGACTGTACACGACAGAAAGTTTGATGGGCAAAATTCAGGAGATATATCCACTTCATTTTGGGAACATTAAAATTCGTTTTACACAAACCCTACAAGAAACAGAGCAGGAGCAAATAATAATTAAGAACATTGGTGCTCCTGGACGATGCAATGATTCGCAGATATATAATGCATCGTTAATGAAGCGAGTAATGGAGGAGAACGAATTACTGAAGGTCAGTAAGAAAGAAATAGGTGGAGTACAAATGCCTATATGCATTATTGGAGATTCTGCGTTTCGGTTTTCCACCTCCTTAATGAAGCCATACGCGTTTTCAATGGCCTTAACTGAAACACAAAAACTCTATAATTATAAGCTTTCAAAGTGCAGAAGAGTAGTTGAGAATGCATTTGGCCACTTGAAAGGACGATTCCGTCGTGTTGGAAAAGGTTTAGACAACCGTATTGGGAAGGCACCCATCATTATTAGAGCCTGCTGCGTCTTGCACAATTATTTAAATGAAATGAACGACACTATAAATGACATGTGGTTGGAGAGATTGCAAGAAGTGAACAGAAATCTCGAAAATCCTGAATATGTTACTATAGTTGGAGACAATCAACCCTCAGCTGAAGAAATAAGGCAAGGATTATGCAATTATTTTAGTGAGTACAATTTTTATTTGTTAATTTAATTCATTTACATTTTTTTTTTTCGAGCTAAATTTCTTTTGTTATTTATCTATAAAAATACCGTCCACTGTATATACTTTTTGTGAGTCATATGAAAAAAAAGTGATTTCTCCGTTTTTCGAAGTTAGCCTCCGAAATCGAGATATGGGCCTTCGAAGTTTGAAATAGGACCTTTGGTAAAAAATTATATTAAATTATTGCATGTATGTAAATAACTAAAAACCTAAAAATATAGGCGTAGTCCTCCTTTTATTTAAATGTTAAATCAATTTTTTTGTGCAGACCTATATTACCTATATAAGGGGTCAAAGTTCAGGTCTTCGAAAAATTAATTTCCTTATATTGCAAACAATTTATATTGTTGTAAAGGCGATTAAATCCCCTTTCTTCTGATATGCATATTTGTATACTTTATACTAAAAAATTTGAGAAAAGTCACATTTAAAGGAAATAAGAACTTTTTTTATAAAAAAGTATTTTGAACAAAAAAATTACTAACCGATTTTTAGAAATATGCATATCAGAAGAAAGGGGATTTAATCACCTTTACAACGACGCCAATTTTTAAAAAATCGGTTAGTCATATTTTTGTTTAAAATATTTTTTTTTTATAAAAAAAGGTATTTTTTCATTTAAATGTGTTTTTTCTAAAAATTTTATATACGAAGTATACAAATATGCATATCGAAAGAAAGCGGATTTAATAACTTTTACAACGGTGTGAATCCTTTTAAAATCGGTTCAAAATTGTCTGAAATATTAAGTTTTTCATTTTTCGAACATCTGACTTTGACCCGTTATAGCACCTGTAATATGAGTTTTCGCAAAAAAATTTATATACCATATAAAGGCGGACCACGTCTGTATTTTTACTTTTTGTTGGTTTTTACATGCAATAATTAAAAATAATTTTTTGCCAAAGGTCCAATTTCGAACTTCGAAGGCCCATATCTCGATTTCGAAGGCTAACTTCGAAAAACGGAAAACTAACTTTTTTTTACTTATGGCTCAATCTCTTTAAAAAAGTTGGTTTGGTCCAATACCCAGCCGAGTGCTGTACAGTGTTATTAATTTCTATTTAAAAATGATAAAATGCCAACTTTTAATTCTTTGTTATCATTCGCTATCTCCCTCAGTGTGTCAGCTTTGTCTTTCTCTATCTTCATCCACTCTTTTTCATTTTCCTCACTCCTCTGTATATGTTGGCTTATCTCCGCTGACAACCCATCAAATTTATCTAATACTTTCTTTTGTAAAGTGCCGATTACTTTCCTTCTTTTAGGCTCAACCGCAGAAGCTGAGCTGCTAGGCATTGGTGACGACGGCGATGATAGCGGCGGTGACGGTGTGGGGAGCGGTGTGGTTGGCAGAGGAGTGAGAGGTGATGACAGCGGCGGTGACGGTGTAGGCAGCGGTGTGGTTGGCACAGCAGGAAGAGGTGATGCCAGTGGTGAGGAAAATGTTGGGCTGAGTGATGACGGCAATATTGGGGTCAGTGGTGATGGCTGGGATGCTATATCGGATTCTGTTTAAAAGAAAAAAAAACAAATAAGAATGAAATAAAAAAAATCAGCATTAAATAAATACATATGTTCATATGTGCTTGTATCGAAGTTAAAAAGATAGGGTACGGTCAGCGTTGGCACTTTGCTACGATCGTAGTAAATTTGCTACGATTTTTCAAAAATTTAAAAACTTGCTACCCCACTACGCTTTATTCTATTTTACTACGCTTTTTATAATTCATTCAACTTACGGGCAGCAACCATTTGTAAATCACTATAACTTCAAATATGTGGCAAACAGGCCATAGCTTCAAGTTCTCAATGTATACTTTTACTACAAATTGTGGAGGAAGCGTCTGACCAAAAACATATGCAACATAAATATGCAAAACCGGTCAAATTTTCGCATAACAGGCAGAAAGATTCAATGTGTGAGAGGGATACGAAGATGGATAGCGAAGATGGATACGAAGATAGAAAGCGGCTCAACAGAGGCAGAATGTTAAGTTCGCTTTATTGCAATATTCTGTAGAAATCAAATTATCGATATTCTCAAATAAAGTAAAGTGCTGGGGTAAATGGCAAAAAGTGTTTAGTTCTATAAGCTCGTATTTAGAAAACGCCACTGTAAAAGAAACAAATATAATACAAAACTTAAAAAAGAGTACAAATGTTATTGAAATTTAAATGTTATGTTTTTGTTTTAAAACATTAAATATGCATATGAATTTAAAATAATAACCAAGTTTTATCTTTTACTACGATTTTCTATTTTTTACTACGATTTTTCTGGTATTTTACTACGCAATCGGATCCATGAGGTGCCAACCCTGGGTACGGTTTAGTTATTTGTATCTACTTAAGTTTTAGTGGAACATTTGTTTTGAAGCACCACCGTATGTCTGTGCTCGTGCAAAATCGAAGTGTACCTTCGCACTTAAACCTGCAACTAAACGAGCTGATAGTTCTAGCATGTACACAGACGCGTCACTCTGCTACAAAACAAATATCTCCACTAAACACATTACGGCTTTTAGTAAGGCACATTCCAAAAACGCATACATACCGCTGATGTTTTCAAGCGTCAGCTCGCAAAACATATTGGCCTTAAATCCACCGATTATCTGGTGCACCCTTGCGTATAAAGGCCACGTTGAGGGTGATCCACCAGAAGGTCCCATAGCCAATTTCTCTTTTCTATTAACGAATTAAATTTTTAGTGGTTTTGAATATTATTCCTTTATTTCTTCTTACCTGTAGCGTTGCGTGAAGTTCGCTAACTTCACCTGCACATCAAGAATGTCCACTTCGCCATCCTCTTCCCAAGCCAGTCTCCTCTTTCTTGGTTTTGGAGGTAATCGAACTGAAATACATACATATGTGTTTTTAATAAACATTACACAAAACCATTGGTGTTTATTTACTCACCATTCAGATTGTTCTGCATCCTGCAGTTAAAATTAAATTTTTTTGGTTTTTGATTGTTTTGGTTCCAATAAGAAAATAATAAATTTATGTCAAACAGCTGATTGTCATTTAACACTGAACACACCAAAACTAAGAAAACGAACTTACCAAACAGAGTTGCATTGGAGTTTTTACTCGATTAAACATTCAATTAATTACCAATTGAGCAATTTCTAATTGAAATTTTGTATGGCAAATCGATCTTAATTAGTGCATTAATTGAGAAAGCTTGGATAATTGCTCGATTAACTGCCTGTCTGAAAATAGTATAAAACATGAAACCACCCAAACCTTTGAAATCTTGAACACTCTAAAGCCTTCTAACGTAAATAAGATGAAAAGATCAATTGATATATTGGGATCGGCATGGAAGTACTTAGCCGGATCTCCTGATCATGAAGATTTAAATATAATAACAAACACCTTAAATAGCTTAAATGAGAACAACAATAACCAAATAGTAATTAACCAGTTGTTCGAGAAACGCATAAATAACATAACTTATATAGTAAACAAAATGTTAAACACGATAAGGAAGGACGACAATGTTCTATCGGAAATTTTAATAAATTTGCAAAATAGGATCAGGCTAATTAAGGAAGAGCTAATTAATATAAGGTATGCCGTTCAATGGGCAAAGCATAATATAAAAATAGAATTGTCAATTAGTAAATTAAGAGAAGATGAAGTACCATTTAAAAGTGCCGAAGAAGCATTAGAACTGTCAAAAGTAAATGTATTTAGCCAAGATATGAAAATTGTATACATGGTAAAAAATACCTCTAACATTAAAAGAAACATTTAGAAGAATTATTATACGACCTATAAAAAGGATAAACAGTATTGTAATTAAAACTGAGTATAATGAAATATTGAAAGGAAAATATACACTGTTTGGAATAAAAAATAAATGCGAAACTATAATGATTTATGTGTAACTAGGATAATTCATAGTTTAAACTCAACATGTTCGACAACCAACGGCCATCACGTCCCTACGCTAGAAGAAATAAAACCAGGAGTAATATTGCTAAACCAGTTCAACGGCAAACTAGAAGCCGACGAGACATCCCAAGAAGTAAACGGAACGCAGGTGATATTATTATGCAATCCAACAATTAAAATCAACAGTCAAACCTTCAGCAATATTGAAATAAAGCCAATCGAAACCATCCCTGCAATACTACCGCCAATCCCGTTGGAAAAGGACCACATAGGACTACTTTCCCTAGAAGCCTTGAAGGACCTGCATATCAACAATACCCATCGAATAAATTCCCTCAAAAAGGCAACCTTCTCTGTCGGAAGTCTAACTACGGCAGCATTCTTAATAATTATAGTACTTCTTCTTTTCCTAAGGAAACGATCCGTGAAAATCCAATATGTGGGAAAAGAAATAGTGAAGCCCAGCACAAGCCTGGAAGTCAATCCGTCAAGCGAAACAAACCACATTCCAACATACGTAAATCTCAACAACTTACCATTCTACTAATGATCGAGGACGATCATATTTAAAGGGGGAAGAGTTAACGCAACAGTTTACAACAGCTCTGCAGAATTGACTTCTACCAACGGTCAGCAACTCCACACGTGCATCCGCACAATTGCTGACACCGCATTAACCAATT